ACATTTGCATATAAGTATACAATTTATGTGTGACTCTGTAGATATATATATATATATATATATATATATATATCTCCATACAAAACCCATGGTTTTGCCAGACAAAGCAGTACACTTGGATGATTGATGTAGGAGTATACTAAGTTCAGAACCAGCCTGGGCTACATAGACCCTGTCTCAAACTAACAAAAAAGAATAAAAAACAACAGGAAAAAAAAATGGGGGGGGGGCCTGGAGAGATGGCTCAGTGGTTAAGAGCACTGACTGCTCTTGCAGAGGACCTAGTTTTGATTCCCAGCACCCACATGGCAACTAACAGCTGTCTGTTCCAGGAGATCCAACACCCACTTCTAACCTTTGCAGGCATTGCACAACATGGGTGTACTTACACACATGCAGGCAATATACTCATACACATAAAACAATTTTTTTAAAAGATAAAAATGAAAGAAAATTGATGATATCAATCTTGGGTTTCTAACAACTGTAAATGGTGTCGTAATGTTTATGTTATTCTGAAACTTTTTTTTTTTTTTTTTGGTCTTTTTGAGACAGGGTCTCCTTTCAGCCCCAGCTTGCCTGGAACTCACTATGTAGACCAGGCTGGCCTTGAACTCACAGAGATCCGCCTGCCTCTGCCTCCCAAGTGCTGGGACTACAGGGGTGCGCCACCACGCCTGGCTCTGAAACTTATTTTTATCCTTCTAAACACTGACTCTTAGAACTTGCCCATATTGGTACCTTGTTCTTTTCTTTTTAATTAAAAATTTTATTATTATTATGTGTGTGTGTGTGCGCACGCGCATAAATGTGTGCATGCCATGGCACCCACCCATGTGCTTAGAGGGTTCTCTCCTTTCACCTTTTTTTTTTTTCTAATTATTTTATCTATGTGTATGTGTATGCCTGCATGTCTGTATGTGTAGAGTGGTGGAGTCAGGATTGGAGAGGCAGAACCAAACAGCCAGCAGACCTCTCTGGTACAGACATGCTCCGAGGGCAGGGCAGCCTGCCAACTTTGTCCCTGCCATTCCCTGCAGCTGGAATGTAAGAGGTGACAGTGAGGCCTTTACAGTACAGGGATCAAAATTCAGAAGACATTTTAGATGTCAGGATGTCGGTTGTGGGGTTATTTATAAGAGGGAAAAAAAAACTGATTGGAAGCATAAAGTCTAAAAAGGGAGAACAGGCAAACAGTCCCTCACGACACTGTGTTATTCTATTCTGTTAAAACAGGTTGCAAACAAACTTGTAAAATTTACAATTACTTACTGTAGTGTTCCTGTTAATAGTCAACTGACATATTTTAAAAATATATTTATTATTTTTATTTTATGTGTATGAGTGTATTGCCTGCATGTAGGTAGGTGCACCCATATGCAGTGCCCTTGGAGATCAGAAGAGGGTGTCAGATCCCCTGGAACTGGAGTTATGGATGGTTGTTAGCCACCACGTGGGTGCTGGGAATTGAACCTGGGTCTTCTGCAAGAACAGCCAGTGCTCTTAACCACTGAGCCACCTCTCCAGCCCTCAAGTGACATATTTATTGCTCCTTGGAATATAACTTATAAGAACATTTTTGGTAATTTCTAGATTTTTTTTTCGGTGGTGAGGGTTGAATCCAAGGCCTTTTGCATACTTAGGCAAGCACTCTGCTGATGAGCTGTTTCCCAGGCCCCTGGAAAAAAATATCCTACCATGATCTTGCACAATTATGCAGAGATGTACAGACAAAAAAAATGCTTGCTTCAGCACTGTTTGTCCTGGGACATCCTGGAGGGAATCCAAGTACCACAAGCTGGAAACTTGACAAATGCATGTGGTGCACTTACACGTTCTGTATCTATAGCCCTGGGAAGGAAATGAGGTCAGATGGGCGGTCTGTACATATGAGCTGGAGAGCCATCCAAAACCCTGTGAGAAGTGCTGAAAATAAGATACGGAACAAATGTGAGCATGGCATTTGCTCTTCAGTGAGTGTTTCTATTAACTAAAGTAGAAGGAAAGCCCCAGATAGCTACATCAAGTGCCAGCTGTGGCTGTGGAGGATGGGCTGTCACGGGCCACATCCACATTCCAGTTCAGAATCCTGTAATGCTTACAGTTTTAATGCAAAGCAGATGCTCCTTTTGGAATCAGGTGGGGGTATTAGGACCATGAATAAAGAAGTCCCAGGGACCCACCCCCTCCACCCACCCCTGAAAGGATAAGACTTGGATCCACTGTGTAATTCCAACTTTATTTTAAAATGCATGGAACAAGTTCAGGTATCTTGGTGCACACCTTTAATCCCAGCACTTGGGAGGGAGGGGCAGGTGACTCTCTGTGAGTTCAAGGCCAATCTGGTCTACATGGCAAGTTCCAGGCCAGCCATGGATACATAGTGAGACCCTGTCTCAAAGAATGAATGAATTTATTAATTAATTAAGGGCAGCAGCTGCTCAGGGTAGAGGGAGTATGGTGGACTTCCCTATTTTTTAGTTTTTATTTTTTAACATTTAATTAATTAATTAATTTTATTTATTTATTTATTGGTCTTTTTGAGACAGAATTTCCCTGTAGCCCCAGCTGTCCTGGAACTGACTATGTAGACCAGGCTGGCCTTGAACTCACAGAGATCCACCTGCCTCTGCCTCCCAAGTGCTAGGATTAAAGGTGTGCGCCACCACGCCCGGCAACATTTATTTTTATTCTGTGTGTATGTGTGTATTGCCTGCATGTAGATAGATGCACCCATGTTGTGCAATACCCAGAGGTCAGAAGAGGGTGTTGGATCATCTGGAACTGGAGTTAAGGACAGTTGTTAGCTACCATATAGGTGCTGGGAATTGAACCCAGGTCCTCTGCAAAAGCAGCCAGTGTTCATAACCACTGAGCCATCTCTCCAGCCTCTAAATTATTATTATTATTATTATTATTATTATCATTTTATGTGTATGAGTGCATTGCCTGCATGTATATGAGTGCACCCATGTTGTACAATGCCACGGAGGTCAGAAGAGGGCTTCCGAGTCCCCTGGAACTGGAGTTAAGAACGGTTCGTAGCTGCCATGTGGGTGCTGGGAATCAAACCCAGGTTCTCTGCAAGAGCAGTCAGTGCTCTTAACTGCTGAGCCATCTCTCCAGCCCCCTATTTTTTATTTTTAAGTGTGTGTGTGTGTGTGTGTGTGTGTGTGTGCATGCACATGTACAATGCCTACAGAAGCCAGAGGTGTCAGAGCCCTCTGGAGCTGGAGTTACAGGCAGTTATGAACTGCCTGACATGGGTGCTGGCATCTTCTAGGTATGTGGCAAGGCTCTTGCTGCATCATAACAATGGCACAGGCTATCATGTGTGAGACAGAGTGAGTGCACTAACCCTGTCTCTCTTCTCCTCATAAAGCCACTCATACCATCATGGGGCCCACCTGCATGGCCTTGTCCATTCCTGGTCACTCCCAAAGTCTCTGTCTCCAAATACCATCCACATATGAGTTCTGGAATTGGGCTTCAACATAGGAAGTTTTGGGGGACATTCAAACCCATGGCATACCATAATACCATTTAATAGCTTCTTCTCCTCCTCTTCCTCCTCCTCCTCTTCCTCATCTTCTTTCTCCTTCCTTGTTTTGAGACAGATCTATGTAACCCTGTCTGTCCTGGCAGTTTCTATGAAACCCAGGCTGGCCTCAAACTCATGGCAATCCTGTGTAAGCCTCCCGAGTGCTGGGAATACAAGTGTATACCATCATGCCTAGCTTTCCTTCACCTTCTGAGTGGAAACAATAAAAACATGTTTTTGTTTTGTTTTGTTTTGTTTTGTTTTGGTCTTTTTTGAGACAGGGTCTCCCTGTAGCCCCAGCTATCCTGGAACTCACTACGTAGACCAGGCTGGCCTTGAACTCACAGAGATCCGCCTGCCTCTGCCTCCCAAGTGCTGGGATTAAAGGCGTGCGCCACCACGCATAAAAACATGTTTAAGTAGTCCTCAGTGCAGCCCTTTGGGTTGAGTTCAGTTGTACAGGATCACGTGTTGCATCTCGCAGGCATATGCTCCTGTGCTTTTGTTCTGTTCCTTGGGGGCAGATTGCTGGATGTAGCGATGGCTAGGTGAAAGTTAAAGAATGTGGTTATTTTGTTTGTTTGTTTCATTATAACTGTTTGTCAGGGTGCCTTTTACAAAAGATGTATCCACGGTGGTGCTCTGCAAGGATACCTGTTCCCCATGTCCTTGCAGGCAATCAATAACATCTTTAAACCCCTTAAAATGGTTGCGTATCTGATGGAGGAAAGGAGTATTTTCCTCTTTTGCGGTGCTGGCCGCCAAAGCCCAGGCAGTCACTCTACCACTGAGCTATAGCCTCAGCCTAATACCTTATTTTCTTTTTTTAGAGAAAAGATTTATTTATTTTTATTTTTTATGTATATGTGTGTTCCTGAGTGTTTGTATGTGCACCATATGTGGTGCAGATACCTGTGGAGGCCAAAAGAGAGCATTGGATACTCTGGAACTGGAGTTACAGGTGGTTCTGAAACACTTGTGTGTGCTAGGAACCAAACCAAGGTTCTCTGCAAAAGCAGCAAGTGCTCTTAATAACTGAGCCATCTCTCCAGCCCTGATCTATTTTATTTTAATTTGTGTATGTGCGGCTGTGTGTGTGCTGGTGGAGGCCAGAAGAGGATGTTGGATCCTCTGGAGCTGGAGTTAAAGGCAGTTGTGAACTGCCTGATGTAGGTATGTGGAATTGAAGTCACTTTTAACTGCTGAGCCATCTTTCCAGCCCCCCAAATATCCTGTTTTCATTTTCAACATTTTGGCAACAAGTGAAGACCACGGACTTCTACCCACAGAAAGGCTATGTGTGTGTGAGTACATCGGGTCTCTCAGGGACTGTTCCTGGAAGGACAGAGGATGGGAATCCTCTCTTTCAGATGCTGTGGTCCTCCCCAGGGGACGGAACTGGGGAAGAGGCAGTTGGCTGCCCTTGGCCTGGGCCTAACGCTCCCTTTGCCTTCTACAGGAAACGTGGAAGCATGCAATCGAGAAAGCCAAACATATGCCAGACCCCTGGGCAGAGTTCCACCTCGAGGACATTACCACAGAACGTGCCACCCGGCACAGGTCAGCAGCCTGCCCTGGGGCTTTGAGGAGCCCTGGAGGTCATGGGTCCTCCTTCTGTGCATAGTATGGGAGGTGCAAGTGTCCTTGGGGTCAAAGAAAAGGACCAACACAGGTCAATTCATCCCCAATCTGAAAACCGAAGTTTCAGATTTGGGACTTTTTTTATTAGAGACGCTCCACCAGGGGGCCAGTGAGACAGCTCAATGGTAAAAGGCCGTTGCCACCAAGCTTGACTATCTGAGTTTGATTGCTGGGGTCCAAATGGTGGAAGTATTGAACCAACTTCTGCAAATTGTCCTCTGACCTTCACATGCATGCAGTGGGACAGGAATGCTCTCACACATACATACGTACATGCATACATACATACAAACAAACAAACAAACAAATAAATAAATAAATGAGACCCAATTAGTCAAGTATACGCAATATTCATTAAAAAAATCTGAAACATGCCGGGCATGTTGGTGCATGCCTTTAATCCCAGCACTTGGGAGGCAGAGGCAGGTGGATCTCTGTGAATTCAAGGCCCGAGTTCCAGGCTAGCTGGGGCTATAGGGAAACTCTTTCAGAAAGACCAAAAAAAAAAAAAAGAAATCTGAAACATGAAACACTTTTGGTGTCAAGCATTTGGGGTAAGAATACTGGGCATGTAAGAAGAACAGCCAGTATCTGAGTATACTGCACACTTCAAGTACTGGACATTATCTTGTTGAGTCGCTCTAATGGTCTTACAAGGTATGTGTTCAGCAGGCAAGGCTGAGGTGAGCTGCAGTAACACATATGCCAGGGCCTCTTATAGCAGAGTGCTTTCTTATACATTTGAAGTTGGTTGAGAGTTGAACAGCTCTTCAGGGCAGCTTGAGGATGCAGATTCCTTCTGACTTGTGACTCTATCATCTCAACACTCCACTACTAGAGGGGCAGACAGTCTCAAAGTAGCACAGAGGGTATTCAATGCCTGATCACAGGAAGCGGCATTAATTTTGCATTTATTTCTTTGGTAAGATCCAGTTACAGTGCCCCACCTGTACAAAGGGTCTCAGGAGTATACTCTGTCCGCTCTGTAATTCTGCAGCCCAATTCTGTTGCCATCCCACAAAGAGAAGGCTTCAGAGCTCCTTGTGTGCTCCTACCCTCAACTAGAGGGCCTGCCTCCCAGCACGGGACTGGCAGGGTCTGTGCCATGTGCCTGGCAGGGTAGGGCAGCTCGGAGGGGACCCCAGCACATGAGGTGTAAATAGCTTCTGCCTCTTCTGCCTACAAGTATGCTGGGGTAGCAGGCTGGTGACACGATAGGGGATCTCTCTGTTGGGTTGGCTCTGTGTCCTGAAGCCCCGCTGCGATCTGGAGCCAGGCTGATCTTGGTTTATTTCCTAGCTAAAGTGGCTGACTACACTACCCAGGCTGCTGTTAGGAGGAGGCCAGGTATGGTATCTAGAACCTTCTGAGATTTCTAAGCCAGAAACTTCCTTCTACAGCCCTAATTTTAAAAGAACTCTGGTGCAAGCTGGCCCTTTTTTTAGGACAGGTTTCCTGTCCCTGTGGATTGTGCCCAGGGTGTTTGAGAGCCAGATTCTGGTTTAAAAAGACCTGGGTTTGAATCCTGACTTTCAGGCAAGTGGCCTCACCTCTCTAAGCCATAGTTTTACCATCTAGAAAATGGACATAATAATTGTCAAAATCTCAGGGTGGCTGCAAAGATTATATAAAGCCGCCCATTTGAAGGCAGTGGTAAGCACTTAGTGAACTTTGATAACACCTTCCATCCATCCATCCATCCATCCATCCATCCATCCATCCATCCATCCCATTACTGGAGACTGAACCCAGGGCCTCCTGCATACTAGCAAGCAGTCTACCACTGGACTAATTTCCCAGCCCTTGTTTCTTCCTATGTTTCCCAGTCTGACCTTGAACTTGTCATCCTCCTGCCTCAACTTCCACAGCAGCTGGGATTATAGGCCTGGGTCCCTAGGCCTGGCTAATTCTTGCCTTTATAATGTTAATGGTTGTGAGTGGCAAGCAAGACCCTCCCAAGTGCATGCTGCCCCCTCCACCAGCTGCCTCTCAGAGTAGAGGTGAGGGAGTGTTGTTTCTGTCTAGTCATACATAGAACACTAATTATTGAACATATTACTTGCCACCCACTGACTGCAAGTGAGTTTACACTCTAGCAGAGCCCTTCTTCCCCAAGCCCAGCCTGGTGAGGTAACCTGCGTGGCCTCTGTTTCCAGCTCTGATAAACCTGATCTCCCAGGGTTGATTGTTGAGTCACAAGAGGCCCTGATCAGAAGTGGGCCAAGGGAAGCCACTGGCTAGAGATAAGAACCAGCAGCCAGGGTTGGTTCTGGGTTCAGTGGTCCACCATGACTGGGAGCTCCACCAGGCATACCTGTTTGAGGCCCGGCCAGGCCAGGGCTGCCAGATGAGCTCTGAGAAAGGATTTCTGAGTGTGGGAAGATGGGAATGTTCTGGAATCACCCTCTCTCCATCCCTTCCCTCCCTCAGTCCATCTCTCCACTTCTCTGTCATTCCATTTCTTAGTCCATGTCTCCATCTAATCTACCTCCCTCTTTTCTCTCCATCTCTATCTCTGCCTCCATCTCTACCTCTGTCTCTTTCTCCATCTCTCTTCTGTTCTTTTTCACGTATGCAGCTGTTTCCTTCCTGTCTAGCTTCCAGGGCAGGACTTTTCCCTCCCCTGTCTTGTGCAGTCCTTACCTCTTAGACATATGCCTGGCAAGTTTGAGGTACTACCACTCCCCTCCCTGGGACCTGCTGTTTGTTATGTAGATTGGTTATAAGGATAGGATATTTATGTCTCTAAGTCAGTTATCCAACATGTATTTATTTATTTTTTTTTTTTGAGACAGGGTCTCCCTGTAGCCCCAGCTGGCTGGAACTCATTATGTAGACTAGGCTGACCTCTTACCACACAGAGATGTGCCTGCTTCTACCTCCTAAATGCTGGGATTAAAGGCATGCACCACCATACCCAGCCCCCAACAAGTATTTATTAAGCATACACACAGCTGGGCCTGATGACACACACCTTTAATCCGAGCATTTGGGAGGCAGGAGGCAGAGGCAGGCAGACCTCTATGAGTTCGAGACCAGCCTGGCCTACATAGTGAGTTCCAGGATACCTGGGGCTACAGGGAGACCCTGTATCAAAAAAACAAGGAAAAAAAGCATACACACACACACACACACACACCCCACACTACATCACACCACACCAGGCCTTGTAGTGAACAAGACAGAAGACATAGGTCTGTACACACACACACACACACACACACACACACACACACACCCCACACTACACCACACCACACCAGGCCTTGTAGTGAACAAGACAGAAGACATAGGTCTATTTGTGGAGTGAAGCCTGGAGGGAATGCCAGGGTCAGAGCAGGCCAGCAGACAGTGCAGCAGTGAGTGCTGGGGTTTGATAAAATGAGGACACCATGGAGAGGGAACAGTGCACTTGAGGAGGCAAGGAGGCCACCAGGGTGGAGTCTAGGAAGAAGGGAAATGTCCACAATCCATGTCAGGAATGAGCAGGTACAGAGTAGCCTGGGTCCTGGGGTCCTTGAGGAGCCTAGGAGGGTTTTTGAGCCAGTGAGGAACAGGACCGGGTTGTGACACTCTGCTCCGGGTGGGCTTTGTCTCTGCAGGTACAACGCTGTTACCGGGGAGTGGCTGGAAGATGAGGTTCTGATCAAGATGGCGTCTCAGGTAAGCAGAAGCCTGAGCTTGGAGGGGGCAGGGCCGAGTGGGAACCTTCGTAAGCCATCTGTAGTGCCTCACTCTTCCTTCCACTCCTACTGTAGTTAATTCTGTGGTGGTTTTTTGTGTTCTTGTTTTTTGAGGCAGAGTCTTACCTTGGAGGTTAGGCCGGCCTTCCTGCCTCAGTCTTCTGCTTGGATGCTGAGATCACAGGCATTTGTCACTGTGCTGGGCTCACACTTGAATTTTTTTTTACTTTTGGGGATTCTCTATGTTATTGTTTACATATTATAGTTTTAAATTTTAATTATATTTTTATTTACTTAGTACATGTGGTCATGTGTGTGTGCATGTGTGTATACATGTGTACCACAATGTACATGTGAAGGTCAGAGGACAACTTGTGGGAATCAGTTCTCCTCTTCTACCATGTGAGTACCAGGGATCAAACTCAGGTAGTCGGGCTCTTTGGCAGGTACCTTTACCTTTACTTACTAGCTCCATACTGTGGCTTTTATTACATTTACTTACATATTTGTTTGTTTGTGAGTGTTTATCTGTGGGGGCATGCATGCCACAGCATGCATGTGGATATCAGAGAACAATTTGTGAAATTAGCTCTCTCCTTCCATTATGTGGATCCTGGGGAATAAAATGCATGTTGTCAGGTTTGGCTGCAAGCACTTTTTCTCTCTGAGCCATCTCAACAGCCCACATTTTGAGTTTTTTAATACCAGCTCAGTAACACGTAATTCACATACCATACAATTTGTCTGTTTAATTTACACAGTTCAGGCATGGGATATAGTTCACTGGTAGAGTGCTTGCCTACCATGCACGAGGGCCTGGGATCCATTCCCAACATTGCAAAAAGAAAAAGTATGTAGTTTAGTGGTTTCTAGCTGTGTGACATGTGACAGTCACCACTCAACTCCAGAACATTTTTGAAAATTTATTGTTTGAGAATTTCATACATGCAAATAATGTGTTTTGATCGAATTCACCCTGCACTCCCTCTCCTCTTAACTCTTCCCATGCCCCTACTACCGTTTCCTCCCCCCAACTTCATGTGCTCTTTTTAAACCCACAGAATCCACTTAGTGCTGCCAGCATGTGTGTAGGATGGTCCACTAGAGCAGGGGCAGCCTCTTAGGAGTCGCAACTCTACCACAAATGGACACTCAAGACCTGCATGGAGTGGGGCGGGGCCCACAAATTCCCACTCCTAGCTGAAGAGCTGCTGCCAGAACATTTTACCTTCCCATGCCCATCCCATCTTTTCATCATCCCCAACTCCTGGAAACTCCTGGCCTACTTTGTATTCTGTAGTTGCCCTGTTTTAGGCGTCTCATACACAAAGATGTCAAAACTGTTCTCAGAAATTCACTGTAAATGTACTGACTTGTATATCACTACCTGTTACTGAGCTGTTAAATACATGCAGAGGGTTGTGACCAGTCTTCTGCAAAGAAAAAAGAATTTAGAAGGCCAGAAGAAGGCATCAGATTCTCAGGAGCTGGAGTTACAGATGGCTGTGAGTTGCCTGACACAGGTGCTGGGAACTGAACTCAGGTTCTCTACAAGTGCAGTAAGCACTCTTAACCACTGAGCCATCTCTCCAGCCTCCTCTTTTTTTTTTTGAGACCCTGTTAGTTTTAAGATCACTGTGACAAAATACCCAAGATAATCAACTTAAAAGAGAAAAGGTTTGCTGCCATGTGTGGTGGCGCAGCTTTTAATCCCAGCACTCGGGAGGCAGAGGTAGACAGATCTCTATGAGTTCAAGGCCAGCCTGTACTTAGTGAATACCAGGTTGGCTGGGGCTACAGGGAGACCCTGTCTCAAAAAGACCAAAAAAAGAGAAAAGGTTTATTCTGGCTTTGGCTCATGGTTTCAGAACTTTCAGTGCATGGCCCCTTGGCCTTTGTTTCTCCATTGCTGTGACAAAACACTCTGACCACTACTGACTTGGGGAGGAAAGGGTTTATTCAGCTTACATCTCCTGGGTCAAGGTTCATCAGGGAGCCCAAGGTAGGAACTCAGGGCAGGAACCTGGAGGCAGGAGCTGGAGCACAGGCCATGGAGGAACACTGCTTACTGACTTGCTCCCTTGGCCCCTGCTCAGCCTGCTTTCATATTGCAACACAGGCCCTCCTGCCCAGGGGTGGCACCACCCACAGTGGGCTGGGCCCTCCCATATCACTCAACAATCAAGAAGATGCCCTGTGGACATGGCCACAGGCCAGTCCAATGAAGGCAATTCCCCGATTGAGGCTCCCTCAACCCAGGTGTGTCAAGTTGACACTAAAGCTATCCAGCACAGCCCTGTTGCTTCGGGCCTAGGCTGGCACATTACATCATGGCAGGACCACACTTTATTGTGCACTACCCTTTCCCAGCATCATGTCCCCAAATAGTGTGCTCTTCCACTGGGTTGGGATGATGGTGATAAAATATGTGAACCTCAGAAAAGCCATGAGCTTCATTAGAGAAGGTCTTAAAGGCATAAAACCATCAGAGTGGCCAAACGGCTCTAAATTGTGAAAATACGAAGTTCCCCCAGTGACCTAACGGCCATAGATTAGTGGTCTGGCTTTGCTCACCCCTTATCACTTGGTCACTCCCAGGACAGAGAGAGTGTGGAGCCCACCTGTCCCCTCTAGGGCCATAGATAACATGGCTGCCAATTTCTGAGGAAATAATCTTAAGAAGACCCTCAATCACTCCAAGGACACCAAACCTGGGCATTAACTCAACTCCCCACAAAGTGCAGCTATGTCTCACAACCTTGGTATAAAAACACCCCATTTTCGCTGGGAGTGATGGTGCATACCTTTAATCCCAGCACTTGGGAGGCAGAGGCAGGCGGAGCTCTGAGTTCAAGGCCAGCCTGGTCTACATAGTGAGTTCAGGACAGCTGGGGCTACAGGGAGACCCTGTCTCAAAAAAAAAGACTAAAAAACCCCCCATTTTATTTGTCTAGTTGTAGAAGCTCGGTTCCTGCAGATAGCCCCTACCTCTCACTGTATCTTCTCTGGATAAAGGAAGATCTATTCCTTGCCTGTTGAAGGTCTGGCTCTGGTCTCTTGTCTCCTACTCCTCTATCTTTCCTTTTATTCTCCAAAAATCTAACAGATGGGTCATGGGGCCCTCCTCATCTCAGCAGCCTCCAACCTGAAAGGCCCATCTGGCTTCGGTGCATAGGAGGGATGGCCCAGCAATATTAGGATTGTGATAACGCACAAGGCACTCACTGGGCAAGTGATGACCAAAGAGAACATGGGACGTGGGTACTGATGACTCTGTCCTGTCTTTCAGCCCTTCGGCCGTGGAGCAATGAGGGAATGCTTCAGGACGTAAGTGACTTGGCTTGGTACTTGGGGCCCTAACCACTGCCAAGATTCCTAAAAGCTAGGACTTTGGACATTTCCAAAGATGGAGACAGTGGCATCTGTCCTCTTACAGCCCAAGTTCCTCTCCATTTGGTCTCTGTTGGGCTATACACACCAGCCCACTTGTAGGGGTCTAGGATAGGCAACACCCTGCTAATCCTTGCTTAGGTATTTGGAGGCCATAGGAAATGGAAGGCCATTGACATTGGCCCTTACTCCATTCTGGATCTCTGAAGGGTGCAGAAGAGTGGGTGACATCGTGTTTCCCCACCTTCTGCATTTCATTCGTTCCTCTAGCTAATCAGTCAGGTCAACCTGGCTATCCTGAGGTCCCAGGGCTGGGTCATCAATGAACCCCAGATTTCCCAGACAGCCCCCCTCTTTCTCCCCAGGAAGAAACTCTCTACCTTCCTGCATGCTCAGCAGTGGAAAGGGGCCTCCAACTACGTGGCAAAGCGCTACATCGAGCCGGTGGACAGGGATGTGTACTTTGAGGATGTGCGACTCCAGATGGAAGCTAAGCTCTGGGGGGAGGAGTATAATCGGCACAAGCCCCCCAAGCAGGTGAGTGGACTCCACCTGCCTCCTACCCACACCAGAGCAGCTGGGGACAGTCACTGGCAATGAGGACAATGGCGAAACAGTCTTCATCTTTTTTTGCAATGGTGGGAATTGAAACCAGAGCTTTGCACATGCTAAGCAAGTGCTCTACCACAGCTATACCCAGAGCAAGCCCTGAATTTTTATTTGCTTTCTGAGACAGGGTCTCCCTGTAGCCCCCAGCTGGCCTGGAACTCACTGAGAGCTGCCTGCCTCTGCCTTAAAGACTTGCACCACCACGCCCAGCTAAGTTTTTTGAGATAGTATCTTGCTCTCTAGCCCAGGCTGGCCTCAAACTCTTGATTTTTCTGCCTTGGGCTCCTGAGTGTTGGGATTAAAGTTGTACATCAGCATACCCAGCCCTTTCTTATCTTCTTACAAGTTGCTAGCAACTACCAACTACCCCCATTTACTGAGCATGGTAAGCCACGGATTTTACATGCAGTCATTTATTCCTAAAAACAGAGCTCTGCAGTGGCAGTGTTTTTATATCTATTTATAGATGGGCTCTATTTGTCGTGATTTTCTAAATATTTTTTTCCAGTTTTTATTTTGTGAAGTGGTGGGTGCTTGTGCCACAGCATGTGTGGAGGTTGGAGGACAACCTTTGAGAGTTGGTTCTGTCCTTCTGCCATGTGTATCCCAGGGATTGAACTCAGGCCAATCAGGCTTGGTAGTAAGTACCTTTATCCACTGAGCCGTCTCCTCAGCCCTATCATGATTTTTGTTTGCAGATGATAAAAACCCATCTACACTGACTTCATCCCAAAAGAGAAGTCATAGTTTCATGTACTTTAAAAACAGATCCAGCTACAAGTGCGGCTGGATCCTGGACTGTGCTGAGCTTGTTAGGAATCTCCCACCACCTCTGCCTTCAGTGTTCCGGGTTGACGTAACCGTCAGGCAGCCTCGGCACTTGTGGTATCATGCTGGCCCCGCCAGCTGGAGGCTCATTTCTCATCAACTTTGTTGGGACAACTCCTATTTTTCCCAGAAGTATCAATGAAAGTCTCAGAGCCGGGTTTCATTGGCTCTGATTAGGTCAGATAGATAGCTATAACTGAGCCAATCACAAGTCTCCAAGGTAGGGGGGAAATGCAGATGGAGCAGCCTATTCCCTATGCCCACCTTGCAGCTCTACCATCCACACCACAAGAACTTTAATTGGGGACAGGTAGCTTCTAAGAAGCAGCAGACGGCATGGAGATGGATGTGGGCTCCCTGAGGAACTGGGCTCAGAGAGGTTAACCAACCCGCCTGTCTTAGTTTGTTTCTTCATTGCTGTGACAAAACACTCTGACCACTACCAACTTGGGGAGG